GCTTCCCTCCCCCCTCTGCTTCCCTCCCCCCTCTGCTTCCCTCCCCCTCCTTTTCTTTTGAGACCAAGACATTAAAGTAAAGTGAGTTGTTCAGAAATCTGTAGGAGAAATCTGTGTAACACTCAACACTTAAAAATTTACCAAAGTTTTGTTTCTGCGGACCAACAACTCAGTGTGTATATAATTCTTTTATAGTTCTTTTTATTTTGGATTTAAATTGTTCTTTATGAACCATTCCCCACTGGAATCTAAGAGTCACAAGGGTAGGCATGTGATCTCTTTTGTTGTTTCCCCAGAACTTTGTATGCCAGGCACTAAGTACCTTTTAATAAAACAGTGCCATTACCAATCATTAACTAACACGTGGTACTAACTATGGGGTAGGTAACTTTCGAAGAGCCGGAGATACATGAACACGTCTAACCTTCACAATAATCTGGTCAGACAGGCGTTACTGTCATCCCTGTTGTAAAGGTGAGAGAATGGAGTCCCAGAAGGCTCAGCGGCTGCCCATGGGTCACAGAGCTCTGTGCAGGTAGGGCTGGATTCTGTGCTAGGATGATGCTTTTGGCCCACCAAACTCACTGCTTCCTCAATGAGACTGCTGAAGCCCCCTGTGCCTACGGAGCAGTGCCCGTGTATGCAGGTGCCCAGCTGATGGCTGCAGGCTGCAGGATGAAGGAATGGTCACCTCCAGCAGGGATGAGCTTGGTGGAGGTAAACGCTTAGCTCTCGATTTAGAACATTCCTAATTCCACCAAGAGGCAGGTGTCATCTGAGTCTGAATGGGGGCAGGTGCCGGTGGCTAGGGTGGGGCTGGTTTATTTATATACTGGATGATACGTTTATAAAGCAGCTTCGACTTTCAAAGCGTCTCATAGTCTGGATCTCACCCAGTTACGTCGTGAGGAAGCAGCTTCATTTTCATTTTACCAGGAGGCCCCTGCTGGGAAGATCACACAGCCAAGACATGGCGCTGGGCACTGGGTTCCAATGTTCCCACACCCAGCAAGACTGGAGAGGACCCTGCAGGCCCAGCATGGCTGAGAACCTTGCCAGTCATCTGCTTCTTTATGATGATGATTTTTTTTTTTTGAGACAGGCTCACTGTGTCACGCAGGCTGGAGTGCAGTGGCGGGATATCAGCTCACTGCAACCTTTGCCTCCTGGGTTCAAGGGATTCTCCTGCCTCAGCCTCCGGAGTAGCTGGGACTACAGGCGTGTGTCACCACACCCAGCTAAGTTTTGTATTTTTCGTACAGACAGGGTTTCGCCATGTTGGTCAGGCTGGTCTTGAACTCTTGACCTCATGATCTGCCCACCTCGGCCTCCCAAAGTGCTGGGATTACAGGTGTGAGCCACCATTATTTAACGTAAATATGTTGTGTGTCAGGTTGATGGTCTTTTTCTGCCTTAGATTGTGCCGGCACATGCAGAGCAAGCGTGTGTGTGAAACTTAGCCCAAAAGTCAGCTACTGTTTCACAGTGATGGCTCTCAGGTGTGTGAGTCATGAGTGGAATGAGGAGGTCACTACACACTCGTGCAATGCTTTGGAGAGGGAAGTGGTTGAATTCAGACAACCAGCTGGCTTGTTATGAATGGGCTGGTGGCTTTTCCACAGTGCCGACCGCTCAGGTTTAGCCCTCGTTTGTCCCCCCATCCTGGCTGACTGGGGAGGTTGTCCCCCTCATGTCTGGGTCACTCTTGTTTCTCAGAGTGGAATTCCTTCCCTATGAGTTTGGGATGGGGAATCTTGGCAGGAAGGAGGGTGTTCTGGGGCGGGACTCCGCAGCGAAAGGGACTCAGGGCTCTCAGGAGACTCAGGTTCTCCAGAAGGGCTGGCCAGGCCTCCCAGAGATGGGGGATGCCTGTGCAGAGCTGGGCCCTGGCAGCCTAACCACGGCACCTTGGTCAGGATGGCTCTTCCTGCCAATACGCCCTGGCCTCTGATCTCTGTGTGGTATTTCGTCTTTCTTTGCCACAGCTTGGTATGGAAAAGAGAACCGTTTGGCCTCCAAGATCAGGTAGATGCTAACGCTCCTTTTTTTACAGATGAAAATGCCCACAGAAAAAGAGGAGGCTACCTTTGGTCATGACGATTCCTGCCAGTGCTTTGTGGCGGGCATGCACGGGTGTGAGGTCCATCGTCACCTCTCGGAACTTCTCTGTGACCAGCTGGGATATGGAGTCTGCGAATTCCTGAAAGACATAAGCACAGGCCTCCACGTTGGGCTGAGCGGGAGCAGCGGGGGGTGATGGGCACTGTCCTCCCTCCTCACAGCCTCATCCCCATGCGGCCACACGTGGGCCTTCTCTCTGCTCCTCCTCACAGCCTTGTCCCCATGTGGCCACACATGGCCTGTCTCCAGGTGTGCCCCAAGAGCTCCGAATCACATTGAGTGGCTTGTGAGTGGCTAACCCCAGTGTTGCTCTCAGCAGAAGCCCTGACCTCTGCCGACCTCCCCATGGAAACAGTGTCCACTCCCCACTCCTGGCCTCTCAGAGAAGTGGCTGGAGGAGTCTTTCGGGGAGAAGCAGATTTTTACAGGGATGATGGGCCACCATTGCCTTCTGAGCATCTCAGAGCCAGTGTCTATGCAGCCAGCAGTCTCAGGGTGCTGTCCTGGTGAAACGGCCAGCTATGGCTCACTCCACAGCCTCTCTCACCTTCCTGCACACGCACACAGATGCACACATTTGCATATATGCACACAGCACAACACGCCATGCACCTAGGGCACATGTGCACACACGAAAATGCACACATAGGTACACAGGCACACACGTGCACACACGAATATGTACACACATGCACACACACAAGCATACACTTGCACACACACAGGCACAGACACACGTGTATATGTGTATACACATGCACACAGACACATACACGTGTGCTCCTGCACACGCCATCACATAATGTGGTTAGTGATAAGGCGACTCCTGGTCTCTGGGAAGGCAGCACACCCCAGTAGCATGAGGGTGCAGCCAGAGTGTGGCTCTGTGGCCGCCCTTCCCCTGGCGCCTGTGGGCCCACGTTTGCATCACTGCCTTTTCCTGGGCTTGGGGCCCTAACCTTTTCATGAGGGGCGGTTCGACTGGCGTAGCCACTGCAGGCCTTGGAGTAGGGAAGCCTGGTTGGACTCTGAGTTCTGTCACTCAGGAGCCTGGGGAGCCCATTTTCCTAATGTACAAGCAAATCATCTTCATGTCCACCTGGTGTTTTTGTAAGGATTAAACACAATACAGCCTCTTAAGTGCTCAGCACAGTACCCCACACGTGGTAGGGAAGTGCTCAGAGGCGATGGCCGTGACTATGACTCTTCCTGTTTTCATCACTATCATCGTTTCTCCCAGTGGCTGCAGGCATTGCCCAAGCCTCTGAGCAGCCAAATCAATACACGTCTCATCCACGAGACAGGAAACAGTCTCTTTTACTGATGGGCTGGGTTTCCACGTTTCCACCAGGCGTGTGCTAACGCTGTGCAGGCACTGGGGTTTCCACGTTTCCACCAGGCGTGTGCTAACGCTGTGCAGGCGCTGGGGTTTCCA